GCCTTATCCACCTGGCCATGCCGGGCACGAATCAGTGACAAACAAACTTGTATGCTTCTAGTAAGTTTATTGTAGTTTTCAGTTCCTTTAATTTTTCCACAAGCCACAGTTTGATTTTAAAATAGAAACAACAAAATTTTATATAATTTCTTACTCGCATGTTTTATTATTTGTTGATGTAGTATTAACTATCTTAATTAGAAAATTGATTGTTATTATTTTGTTCTATATGTATATATCCACATTGGTTTGGCTTTGTTGACTTAATTTTGAATATCCAAAGACCACCCAACATAGGTTTAGTGTACAAATTAAGCAATATATTTAAGAAAGCTAATATTAGTTAAATCTGCAAATATCTAATCAGTACATGCTATACATGAATATTACTTCAAAATGCATGTAAAATTTAATTTTAGTATAAATAAAGATTCATCAAAGTTTGTTAGTGATTTTAATGTTAGAAAGATAATTTACAAATTGAGCTTAGTCCAGTAAAACTACATATTATAGACCAAGATGTGAAGCAAATAAGTAATGTTAAGTGTATTAACCTAACTTAAAGTTCTTTAATTTTACATTAAAGTTATTCATAGCTTATTCTGTGGGTTTTAAGCATGTTTCTGGAAGTTTTACTATATTCACTTTGGTTTTTCTTGTTCTTAAATTTTTCATTCAGGCTATATCAAATATTACTTAACAGGACATTTGTTTACAAATGCTAAGTTTTATCAGATTGGTGCTGGCACCAGTAATTCAGATGCCTTATTATTTATTAGGCACTTAATGCTGAATACTCATAGCTGACCACTTTAATCTGTTTCAAGGTGGTATAGAAAATGAAACTTATGTTGGGTGAAAAATGAAGACTTTTTCTATCACAGCCATATGCTACAATTGATTGTTTTCATTACCCTATTCAAAGGATGGCAGTATTTAATCAGCTTAAACAAAACATATCTGTTTTGAGCTTGACTAATTTGTTCTTATATGTTATTGATGTTATGAAGTAATATGTATATTATCTTGTATTAAAGGCCTAATAATATTGTCCAGTTTATCATATTATCAAATAAATTTGAATACCATCTAAAGTGTGTAATTTCAATTACCAGCTTATGCTTAAAATAACTCGTTTTTTTATTTTGTTTTCTGAAATAGCAAATAAATTGAACTTATCATTAATTATAAAGTTTGAGTTTAACATTATTTTATTATTGAAATTATGATTTTTCAATTGCTGTGGAACATAATTTTATGCATACATATATTAATGAAAATGTAGTGTTAAGTGACAGTTGATAAACTACTGTAGAAAACAAAGATTCTTAAATTTAAAGTTTATATGATGATTTTCAGAAACCTCAATAGCTCAATTAGTATAATATGAAAATAAGAGAGCATTTACAGTACCAGACGGTATGTGAGGTTATCAAATTTCAACTCTCATGAGACTGGTCAATAAGAAATGATATTAATCAGTAACAAATTGGTAAATTAAAATTACAATCAACATTTCTCTAAAATTTTCCAAAAGACAGCAGTAAAGAATTATACTTTTTTATGTAATTTGTTTACATGTTTATTTGTGTACTGCATTGTGAATTAATTTTTTAAAGTCATATTAAGGCTTTGTTTTGTTAACAATTCTTGTGGTCTTTTAACTCAACATGTTACATGATAGTATAAGTACCCATTTTTATTATTATTATTTCAACCTGTTTTCCTTTTTGATTCTCTATTGTACAAGGTGTGCCAGAACTTTGGACCCACAGGAAAAAATACAATTTATTCTTTATTTATTTATTATTCAATGTGCATGCCATTAACAGCTATACACATATCAATTCTTGGTATACTGTGTCATCAGGGTATTTTCTTTCCTGAAATATGTACAAGTGACAATAGAAATGTGTTTGTTTATTTTTAAGAATATAATATCTATTTTCCCTATAGGTCCAGACTTCTAGGACATCCTGTAAATCCAACTTAGGAACATTATATTTTCATATTTTGTGGTAGTTAGCCATTCTAGATAAATTTTTGTTAAGCTCTCTGTTTATTAGGTCTGATTTCAGTTAATTATACTTACTCAATTTTTAATTGTATTTCAGATATTGTGTTTTAATAGTGTATAATATGTTATTGTTAGATATTTTTATGTCCTTTGTAGATCAAAAAGGATTTATTGTATACATGTATTAAGCATTGTCAGCTTCATAAAAATGCTCAAGAACAACCATCTAAGTTGCATGTAGCCAATGATCATTTGAAATAAAATTCTTAATATTTTTAAAAGAATGTTCACATAAAATACTTTCGAAACAACACTGCCATAATATCAGAAAATATGTTATTTATTGTCAGGTGGCAATAACTTAATTACATAAATTCATTATAACTGTTGTGCATGTAATCAGTCTTTGACCTTTTAAAAGTATTTCATATATCATGAAAAATTTACTAGTTTATTTCAGTTTCCTAACAAGAATTACTGTTTCTAGTGAGACAAAACTAACCTGAAATAAATTAAAAGATAATTTGATATGATTTTTTTTTTAAGAATGAAAGAAAACCTGTATGACAATTCACTAGTTTGTTACAGTTTTTTATGATAAAGATAAAGAGCTTAGTTATTTTTGAAAGACTCAACTCAGCTTCCACTCTCTTCAATCTGTTATTAGGAAGTTAATCGAGGTATCTTAACCACCATACTTTCGATATTTATTGCAAGCTTCAATTTCCAAATAGCTCTGATGCTTATTCAAATATAATGTAAAGTTTAAAAAACGGGACTAGAGGATTAAAATGGAATAGAAAGCTAAAGTTTTGTATTTATTGGTTGAATGTAAGTATATTCATACAATATTAAAAATTTTGCATTCACACATTACCAATGTGATCACGTCACTGAAGAAAGCATTTATAATATTAAACACTACATTTTTCACACATTAATATTTATTAAGACATAAACAGTGAAATACAGTTTTGCATTACATACAAGTTCGACATTATTAAAGTAATTCAAATAATTGTTTGTAATGAGACTATTCAATGTGATAACACTTAATATCCGTATTTTACTTTAATTTTTAGCGCTGATAAAACAAAGCAAGGCGCTTTTTCGTACCCCTATGATACCTAATACATGATGGATATGCCTAATTGCGTGACTCCTGTTTTCCCTGAACTTCTGAAATAATTTTTGATATCCATAACGAGTTTTAAAATATTCTTCAACATACACAAAAATTGTCATTGGTTATGATACATTAAACACTGGTATTAGGTTGGATATGTTACTTGTTTCTTTAGTTCTGGCGTTAAATTATTAAAGTTACATTTATCTAACCTTTGGCTAAATAAAAATATGATCATTATTTAGGGTGATCTGGTCAACTTAATGACTATCTAAACCAACGGAAACCACAAAGCTTTCCTTAGATGCCTTCAAGTACTCAGATTCGCTACGCAAATTCCTTAACCTTAAAATAATTTGTTTATAATGTTCTCATGATTATAGGAGCCTAACAGTGTTTGTAAAAATGCAAATCTTTAGTATCATCCAATTAATTTAAATAACTTAAGAAGTACAACCATGGGATGATTACTGGACATACTACCTAAAGTTTGCTATAATAAGACATTAATAGTTCATGTAATAAACAAAAGGATTTGCTGCCATAAAAAAGGTACGGGATTTTAGGGTTGCAGGATGAAGCGTAAAACTTAAGATTGTAAGTTTAACTTATAGAATTAAGGGTTTTAAACTAAATGCGTTTAACATGCAACCTAAAAAGCTGAAAAGGGGTTAGCTTTTTATCCTCAGCCTGGTAGCATCGGTCAGAAGTCACTCTGGCCGGTGACAAGACTAGTCATTAAAGTGTTGAAACTACCAGACTGAAGAATCTTGTCCTTGGGCATACCAAAAGCATTAATCCTGTGACTCTTGGGATTGGAATTAGCGTAATGTTGGGTGCGAATCGGCTTCTGTTCCTTCGGTCGACTTATTTCTTCTTCTTGTAGCAGCATATATGTTGGAGACATTGTAATGTCTACGCTTTTCCGAATCTTGGATCCAGGCTGGGGGCTGGACTGGCCACTGTTAAATGTGTAACACATTTAAAACCATCAAGTTCAGAACACAAAAGTAAAGGCTAATTGATTTTAAATGAAATATTGTCAAAACACGTAGAAAGTTTAATATAGCGCCTGTTACCATAATTGCCTTTATATCAACTAATGTTCCCCAGTATTACTCAATAGTGTAAGTTACCCACATATCCTGTTTACGGGTAACTGGAATTCAGGAAGAGAAGGGTTTTAAAACAACGAAAAGTGCGCATTTTAAAATGAAAATGTTGATTTGTTTCTATATCGTGTCAAGTAAAAAACTTTAAGTATCAATATAAAAGCTGACCTAAAACTTTCAATGTATTATTCAGTGTATTTCTAGATGGTTTCACTCTTTTACAAGACCTGTACAATTCATTTTCAATTTCAAGTTTGAAACTTTTATACAGAACTTAACAAACATTCAAAAATCATTACTAACATTTGCTGCCAATAAAGTGATTCATAATGAGTTTCAAGAGACATTATATCAGTCAGTGTAAGTTTAAAGTTGTTCACCCAGTATTGTGGTTTTAATAGTTTATTTTTTATTTTAAGTTTTTCTTGGTTTTAACAGCAAAATACTACCACAATTTGATACTTACGGTTGAAGTCCAGTTTGTCCTTGCAATGCGTCAGTCATTGTTTGTTTAGAGTAAAAATTGATGGGTGTGTTGTACTGATGGTGCACAACCTTCGGGTCAAAGTTTGAAACACCAGTTTCCGAATCAGGAGTTGGTGTTCGCCCAGGGCTTATGGACGCTGAAGAAATTCCAGTTCCCTTTTTTGTTTCGTATACCTGCAGATTCAACTATTATTTATTATTAAACATAAATAAAGCAATAGATGTCTCAGCTGAAAAAGAAAAATTTGCTTCAACTAAACTGAAATTAAACTAAAACATGTGTAAGCCTGAAAAAGCTTTTCAGTGCAATAAAGTAATTTCACCAGATATGTTTTGTTTCTCAAAGAAATTGGACTTTTTCATCTTGAAAATAATGTTTCCTCGATATCCGTGAAATATGTAAGATAATATGTTCGAATATATTTATATTTAGTGATATTCCGGTGTTTATGCTTAATATATATTTTAATTATTTACCCAAAAATTGCTCAAATAAACAAACAATAGTTGCGTCAACAAGTCACAAGGTACGTTTCCTATTGCAGGTTATGGCGTCACATTCAAACTTTTTAGTTTAGAAACTACACCCAAAATTAATAGTAGAATCAGTCGATATATAAGTACCTTACTTAGAACACAATTACATAGGAATTGACTGAAAGGAAAAGTCAGTTGTTCGTTTTCACGATTCGATAGAAAACTATGAGCTAGAAAGTGTGAACACTTTGTGGAAGTTTACACTGTTGTTCTTGTCTACAGAGGTGTGTAAGTCATGGGCCAACACGTACCACAGTTTTATTCCCATGTCTTGCTCGTTTCAAGCCAGGAAGTTTAAACGTCTGTGAGAGAAATGAAGTTCATTTTCTGGTAAAGTCCTTCTTACTAAAATATGGTGTACTGTCGAATAAATAATACACTACTTCTCAAGTGCTGCCCAGTGTGATCAAGTCCCATCAAGACAGTTTTACTAAATTTTCATTGCATTTCAGACTGTCAAAGCATATAACTTTCAGTTATTTCATAGTACTACTGAGTTTTACATTACTTCCATTATTAGTAACGTAATGATTTAATTCACTCAGATTCGTTCAAACTTATTACGTCAATCAATCAGTCATGGTGTCCTTCCAAATTCTGAAGGTTGACGACTATGTACCTCCATTTTTCACTTGCACAAACTTTCCTAATTCAAACTTCTCACCTCTATTCCGTTTTTTTAAGTCGTCAAGTAAAGTGAATTTCTGCTTGCCTCTAGCTCTTCTTCCTTCTTGGAAAGATCTACTGCCCTCGTCCTCTCAATATATCTGGCACATTTAGTAACTATAACATTTCTTGAAAAGTTTTACTGTCCTTGTCCTCTCAATAAGTTATATCTGAGACGTTTGCTAACAATAACTTTTATCGAATACTCAACTACCCTTGTCCTATCAATATGTTATATATGACAAGTTTAAAACCTATAACATTTCTTCGAAAGCTCTACTGTCCTTGTCCTCTCAATATGTGTGATATGTTTACTAATTATAAGTTTTCTTGGAAAGCTACACTGTTCTTGTCCTCTCAGTATGATATATCTAACACGTTTAGTGCCTATAACTACTCTTGGAAATCTCTACTTCCTTGTCCTCTCAATATATTATTTCTAACACGTTTAGTAACTATAACATTTCTTGGAAATCTCTACTTCCTTCTCCTCTCAATATATTATTTCTAACACATTTAGTAACTATAACATTTCTTGGAAAGCTCTACTCTCCTTGTCCTCTCAAAACGTTTTATCTGACACGTTTAGAAACAATAACGTCTTTTCAAAGTTCTACTGCCCGTGTCCTCGCAACATATCTGACACGCTTGTTATAACCTTTCTTGGAAAGCTTTATTGTCCTTGTCCGGGTCTCATAAAAACTGTCTGATAAAAACCTTGACTGTCTGCTCCATTTTTCAGAAGGCCGGGTTTTATAAAAGTAAAAACAAATCCTTAAGCGTCTGAACCATTTTTCAGAAGTTTGTAGCTATGGATTTGTCTACTCACCTATGTTGTTACCACGTTTTGAAACTTTGAAGCTGTCTACAGTATTTCAATAATGCATACTCAACAAACTACTGTCATGGTTACACATGTTGTGATGTTGGCTTTACAGCTACTTCTACAGTCACAACTTCTGTTAGACATTGTTTCTCAGAGAGTCCAAACTTAGCCATATTCTGCGTAACGTTGTGTTCGATGATATAGTGGATTTTTACATGTGTGTAAGATATCTTGAACCTCTTTTTTTTTTCCTCAGTGATAAAAATCGGGTTTTTCTTTGGCTACTTTGAAGTGTAAGAACACAATTATATCTACCACAGAATTATGTTTGTATTTATAGCTTGGATACTCCCTTTGTTTATCAGTAGAAGTTTGTTTCACAAAAAGTTTTTTTGGAACAGTTTCTAGTCTTTTATTATTCCGTTCTTGAGAACATTTTCCTGTTAAAGTTAATTTGCATATTATATCTAACACGTTTAATAATTATAAATTTTTGGGGGAAGCTCTACTGCCATTGTTCTCTCAATATGTTATACCTGACACCTTTAGTACCTACAACTTTTCTTGGAAAGCTCTACTGTCCTTGTTTTCTCAATATGTTATACCTGACACCTTTAGTACCTACAACTTTTCTTGGAAAGCTCTACTGTCCTTGTTTTCTCAATATGTTATACCTGACACCTTTAGTACCTACAACTTTTCTTGGAAAGCTCTACTGTCCTTGTTTTCTCAATATGTTATACCTGACACCTGTAGTACCTAAAACTTTTCTTGGAAAGCACTACTGTCCTTGTCCTATCAATATTGTATATTTGACATGTTTAGTAACAACAATGTTTTTTTTAAAGTTCTACTGCCGTGTCCTCGCAATATATCCGACACGTTTGTTATAGCTTTTCTTGGAAAGCTTTACTGTCCTTGTCCTCTCAATATATCCGACACGTTTAGTACCTATAATTATAACTGTAACCTCAAGTTGTGTTTTTTTCCTTCCTTTATCTTTTTTCCCCCTTTTTGGTTACATTTCTGTAAGTTATCTAGAGTGTCTTCGTAATTTGACTTTACTGTTTGATTATGAAGCTAAATTAGGAAGTTTCACGTTTTTTACATGTGTTTACAAATGTATATTGTGACTTATTCTACATGATTATTAACAAATGTTCATTTTATAAGGGAAAATAGGTAGCTTAAACTGAAAATGAAATAGCAAAAACGTAAAGAAACAAGCTTAAGGTTTGAGACATAGTGTTGATATTATTTCCTAAAGCTACAAATCCCCATTTTGACTCTCCTAAATATTACAGCTTTTAGACATGGAGTCAAAATAGGGATTTAGTATATTAAGGAAAGAATGTCAACACTATGTCTCAAACCTTAAGCTTGTTTGTTTACTTTTTTCTTGCGATTGTATTCTCCCTTTAAGCCACATATCTTGGTTTTGTATTTTTATTTTTTTTCAAAACCCCAATTCCCCCTTTTCAAATGAACAACTTTTAATAATATAGTTTCTTCATTTTTTATGACCATCATAGACATAAATGTGTATAATAGCAATAATATCCTATTTGAAACAGTTTAGTTTAATGAAATACGTAGTTGGTAAACGATGCTCTCTCGAGAAACAATGATAACCTTTGGATTGGCTTCATGCAGATTGAATGGCTAATGCTCCTGATATTATTGCCACAATGTTATAATTGATAGTGGTACTGTATGTATGATCACTTTATTCAATGCAAAATCAGGTAATGTGTCACAATATAATAGTATATGTATACAAATAAACATTTTTGATATTTCTTGTAGTTGTTATATTTCCCCCTTCCTCCTCCTTTCCGATGACCATAGTAAGGCCGATCACGGTTTTGTTACAGCTTGCCAGATTTCCTCTTAGCATGACATACTTCACATTGTACAAGGTCGAAAACGATTTAATTAACAATTATGAATTGATTATATTAATATACCTTTACTTCCTCCATTTTTGATGGAGTTGGGTCGTGACACTTCTACGACCCTAAACTCTGGTGGGCAGTCGCTGCTGCGTACTTTATCTGAAACTAAATAAAATACGTAACTACAAAACTTCTGTCTCACATTCGCTTAGAATTGTCATCTCCTGCTTGCACGACTTTTGTCACTCCTTATAGTCAGCTTCAAGGATGACTACTCTATTTGCAGTATCCATAAAATTCGTAATCACGCAGTGTTGGCTTTATTTGTTTGAAGTTAAGCACAAAGCTACACAATGGACTATCTGTGCTCTGCCTACCACGGGTATCGAAACCAGATTTCTAGAGTTGTAATCCGCAGACATACCGCCGTACCACTGGGGGGCGCAGTGTTGGCTATAATTCGACACTTATCATCAGTCATCACCGTAATTGCTGATCCGATGCTCGAAACTGAGCTTGGTGCTATTTTTTAAACTACGGCTTAAAGATCTCTGTTGTGGGAGACAACCTCTATAGACGTTTAATGATGATGAGAAACCAACTTGAAGTACAAATGTGTAGCAGAGACTCTGCTATACAACCTAGACGTTTGTGTAACATGGTCGAAATCGATCATGCAGTGGTAAAACAACTGTGATCCTGTCAGCAGCGTCGTGTCCGAAAGGGCAGAAACACTATACATAAAAAAGTGATATGCGACATCAATACAGCTGCAACAATAAATTAATAATCGCTATGGAACATGTGTCACGTAAACATCAAATTACATCTACGGCTTGCACGCAGCAATATACGTATATGCATGTATTAGATTATGAGGCTCCATATAAACCACAGACTACACTAAAACGATTGTGTGTCAACGGTTACGCAACCGCTGTTATTTGCTAGACAGTCAAATATACTTAAAAATTACCCTACACAATGTGCAGTGATGCATTTGATAATATTATTGTCCATGTTTTATTACAATATTCACAATATTAAATAATAATAAAGAAGAACAAATGAGCGATCTCTATTACGAACTACTACGGTGGTTCATTGTTTGTTTGTTTTGAATTTCGCGCAAAGCTACACTAGGGCTATCTGCGCTAGCCGTCCCTAATTTAGCAGTGTAAGACTAGAGGGAAGGCAGCTAGTCATCACCACCCACCGCCAACTCTTGGACTACTCTTTTACCAACGAATAGTGGGATTGACCGTAACATTATAACGCCCCCACGGCTGAAAGGGCGAGCATGTTTGGTGGGACGGGGATTCGAACCCACGACCTGCAGATTGCGATTAGAGCTCCCTAGCCACCTGGCCATGCCGGGCCCGGTGGTTCATAATTGAAAAAACTGTTTGCGCATTATATATACAGCCTCTTAAAATCACATAACTTGTAATTGTTCCTATTTACTCTAGTAGTTTTATGTCTGTATCTTCTTTATTTTCTCATGGTTTTACATTTTTCTCCAGATTGTTTTTGTCCTTGAAAC